CTCTTTGTAAGTACATTTTTTAAATAAAGCCTTCACTAATTATTTGATCATTTAATAGAAATCATATTGTCAGAGTGTATGTTTTTTTTCTCACCACCTAAGTAAATGGCGTTACAGTGCCTCAGGCTTTATTTTACCCTCAATGATAAGATTTTCATTTAATGATTAACACTAAAATTCTGCTGGTCTTTTCTCAGCTTAATGAAAGTGTTTCCACTCTTTTCTTCTGTCACGAACTTGTGCAAACTCTCTGACAACATTCATAAACAGAATGTGTAGATAAAGGGCAATTTTTGTTGGCAAAACTTCCTGGTTTCCTTTTTGTCTGTTTGTAGTCCTAGTGCCATTGACAAATCATGTTTCAGCAGGTTTTGGTTGATTGCAGATAAACAGTCTGTGGAAAGCAAATGAGGGGTGAAGTTCATTAGATACCTATCAGCTGTGTTCAGGTGATGATTTAGCTTTTTTAAATTTGTATTTATTTGTTTATTTATTGTCATTTGCAGACAATTGCCAACTGACTGCTTATGCTAGACAGTCAGAAAATAGACAGTTGCCTTTGGAAGCTAAATCAAGAGACTGTCTGATGGGTTCCCATTGCATAGCATGACCTTGGGACTATGGTCTGTTAGCTTTTGCTTGCTCATCAATCTCACATTTCTACAGCAGTCTGAGTCAGATTGTTTCCAAAATCAGCATAAAATCCAACTTAAAATAAATCTACATAATCTTACAGGAGTAACAATATTTTATGTCTGCTCAAGGAAATGACAGGGGATTCAAACAGAGCAGAACTTCCCAGATGTGGGAACAATGAATCTCTGGTCATCAATGTTTTCTTTTGCTTTCCTTGGGAAGAGTTTTTAAGTTTCTTGTAAAAAAAAAGGAGAGGAAAAAAAGTTCCTTTCTTACATACAGCGTATATGCTTTAGACCACAGCAACCTCGCACGGTGGAATTTTAAGTATTTTTTAACCTTTACTCAGATTTGAAGTTTACATAAAGACTTCAGCGAGAACCTTTCCAAAGGGAGATGATGATGCAGTTTGTGCTCCCCTTTCACTCCTCTCCTCTCCAGTTCCCACGCTGTCCTTTACCTGACTTACCACAATTTGAATCAAATCACTAGTGTCCAATTGGCTGCTGTGATCATGTGACCGGCATCAGCCCTAAAAGCACCGCCTATTGAGATTGGTCTAGGATTTTCCCATGGGAGCTGCATACAGAGCCAGTGCTGTGTGTGTGTTTGAGCACGTTAGGGGAAAAAGTCCCACCACCACCTCCACCACCACCTCCTCTCTGCTGTCCTCACTTTCTTTCCTCTTTTCTTTTTTTTCCCACCACATCCCGTCCTTTAAAACACAGTATCAGACTTTAGATGGCTTTGTTGTCACAGCAAGGGACGTTCAGACTGTGAGAGTGCCTTAGATTCCCTGAAAAAACATGGAACAAAGGCCAGAGCAGCTCAGTGTAGTACCTGCCTAAAACTTTCTAGAGCTTTCGATTTAAAAAAATCTAAATTGTTTTAAAAAAAATTTATGAATTGCCAAATTCACTTTTGGTGGTCCTTTGATCATTAGTCACTCGTCTGGGTTTTAAGTAGAAGAGCCTAGTGGCATGCTAAAGCTAGTATTGAAATATTATTAGACATTGTACCAAAAAGCCCCCCACCTCCCAAAATATTTCCTCATTCCAGTTTAGTACAGCCAGTATTGTAGGGAGATTCTGATGATTTGCAGTAAGTGTCGAGCTTTTGCATCTTCACACCTTTTGTTTGAAAACCAAACAAGAAAATAAAGTCATGGTGTCTGACTAACCTGCAGAATAATGCCGTGTCTAAAACGAGCGTGTCCAAACGAGCAGAGTCAACTTTGTATGTTTTTGGCACCTTTTAAGGTTTCTTTATTGTGTATGTTTATTTACTGTGTGTCTGTCTGTGTTTTAAATACTGTCTGGCTTTAAGAATTTCGTTGTGTGACCGCACAGTGACAATAAAGAACCTTTTGAATTTTGTACTTGAAATGGTTTGATGAAGCCTATTCCCTGTGTGACAGCTGCATACCTGAAAATTCTGCTAGTTAAGTAATGATGTAGGATAAAGAAACACCAGCTGTCGGAGAGTCATTTTTCTTATCAGCGCATCTGCTAATGTGACAAATTGAAAAAAGAAAATCACTTGTACTTAGCTCATTTGTCTAACAGAGCTCTGCAGGATCTCTGATTAATTATAGAATTATTTTCATCCAGGTTGCGTGTGTGTGAGACGATGTGCGTGTGTGCCTGCCCGTCCGTGGCTTAGCTTTGAGAGTTCAGAGCAGGTTCTGGCTTGCTCAACTCTGGGAAACTTTGAGCTGAGCAAATAGCTCGGTCTGTTTTCCTGGCTGCCGCCACAGTCGTATGTGTCAACCATGTGTATGTGCTGTTAGCATCTGTGTGCATGCGGTTTGTATGCTCAGTGTAGTGTAGCCTGTGCAAATTGTGAAGTATTTTATCTGTGCGGTTAATTTTTGTGTGTGTGTGTGTGTGTGTGTGTGTGTGTGTTTTTGCATGTTACGTGGTTTTGTGTATGCGTGTAATTCAGCATACAAAGAGGAGTTCATGCATGCAGCCAGGGAGAAGTAAGCTTCATTCGCACAGACAAGACAGATGGTTACACCTCTACTATTCCCACACCTCCAGTGTTTCTTCCCCTCTTTTCCCTGCATGCCCTCTGTCACCACAAAGGCTAACACTGCTCTACATGTGCACACAAATGAGATGACTTGCTATTGTTTTGAGTGGGTGTATGGTCCTGAATTTTCCCAGGTGAAGAGAGGCAAACCTTAAGTGAACTAATCAAGGATCACTCTTGTGCGAGTGGTTTGATTTACAGCCCACTTCTAAGTAGAATGCTGTTTACTGGGCGGAGACCTGATGTATTGACAAGGCTTTTAGCACTGACATGCTGTCAGGATGTTTTACAGACAAATGTGTGCATGTGTCTGTCTTTCGAGTTGGGGGCCGGCACACAAGAGGCCACTAATGTCTCTCCATTTATCAGGGAAGGACGTTATAATGCGAACATGTGAATGCTACTGAGGTGTTAACACTGTCTATACACACAAAGATCTGATCGTTCTGTAACACTCATGGCCTTTCACACCAAAGCAAGAACCTGAGAAAAATGTGTCTTTGCTGGTGTGCGAGTAGATCAACGCAAGTTATCAGACCTGTACTTTTCCCGTGTTTTAACATAGGTCTGCAACTTTGTGTTTTAAAGCCGGTTGTTAAGGTTAGCCATTTAAGAATTTACTGTGTACTCTGGTGGGTTTTTATTACTTTAGGTAAGGTGATGTTTTAAGTATTTTGGGTCATTACAATGTGAAGCCAACCTAGGTTGGAGTCTGTAATCATTATCCTGTGTCATATACTGGGTTAGGAGTGACACGGTACTGCACTGTACTTTTAGTTTATTTTTATGTCATCTGTCTGTATATTAAATGTATATCAACCTGTTAAGCCAAAAAAAAAAAAAGATCTAAATATCCTGTCACCTAGAGTGAGGGGAGTAGATGTCTGTTATGTCTGTCATTTTTCTGTCAGAAATTGGCTCCACTTCTCTCAAAGGGAATAATCACTGTTAGTCAATAAAAAAAAGTTGTTTTTATTCAACCAGTTAATCAGATCTGTCAAGCTTCATTTATAAAGTATTTCTCATGCAGTGTAGTGCGGTTCCAGGTGTTTCTCAGATCACTGAGAAGCTGATTACAAGGCAATAACCATTAGTAATAAAGATGAATTCATATGTCATAATGAGCCATTTTAAATACTTAAAGACAAAACAGCAAGAAATAAATAAAAAATATAAATAGCTTTTAATTGGAATAAAAGTGCAAATAACATTAAAGAAAAAATACACAGATAGAAAATTTTTAAATAGAGATAAGAAGATAAATAATTATAAAATAGAATCAAATGTACAATTTGAAAAAAAAAACAGTCAGTGAATAAAAATAAAATAATGTGATGGAAAGTAAACATCCAAAATGATAAAATGGTAAGAAAAAAAAGTTTGTGACATCAGTAGCACATGCTCAGTTAAAAGCCAGGCCTGTCTAGATAGGTAGGTCTATGTTTAAAGATTTCATGACTTCCAGCTGCTCTCAGCTCCTCTGGCAGACTTTTCAGGTTGTGGAGGACCTGAGACCCTGTGCTGGTTCATATACACGAGTGAATCCATCAAGTAAAAGAAAAAATAATTTTGGAAATTGAGAGGCAGCCAGTGGATAGACTTCAGAACTGGTGTAATGTGCTTTGAATATTTCTCAATCAATTATAGGTGACGCAAAACATTTTTCTATCAGAGCATTACTGTAATCGAGCCTGCTACATAGCAAAGCATTTGTTTTTCTGCGTCACTCAGAGAGCCTATGGCTATAATTTTAGTTCCGTCCTGATTGTTGTCAACACATGTACATCTAAAGTGCTCAGTGATCCCTGGTTAGATGAGTGTGAGTCATACTGTGTCCTTAATCACCACTACATGTTTTCTTTTTTTAACTGACATGTTGGTCAGAGCTCTCCTCCACCATCATAAAAATGTCAAATCCCTACAGCAGACACATTGTTCTCTATTGAATTTATTATGCGTGTTATTGTGTTGTTTTTGGAGATGGGTATGGAAATGTTAATGTCGTTTGTGGCGGCCGTTGCACTTTCTGACACATTTGCTCAGCCTACATTACACCCACTTAAATAACAGCAAAATGACAGCCGCCAGTCAGCTATCATGAAAATGAATATGAAAGTTTTTTTGTGATATTGTGCTAGTAAGGAGTTTTTTTTGTCACGTCATCCATCAAGAATAAAGCTCAAAGCAATAAAGATTTTTAATGGTGTCAGCATTTAGAGTACAAATGGCCACATTTGCAACAAGCTTGTAAACGGGCGAGAATATTTTCTTTTTTCCACATTTTTACATTTTTATATCTGCTGCTGGTGACTGTTTCTTTGTTTCTCCAGGCGTGTAACAGTGATCAGTATGTGGCAGTGCCACGAGACGATATGGTCGGGATGCTTAAAAAGAAAGGTTTGTCAAACTCACACAGTATTATAGGAAAGGCTATACTTTCTAAAGCATTTAAGGATGAATCTACAGTCCATTATGTCTGCAGCTGTTTGTCTCACCATTGATAACCTCGCTTCCTTTTCCCTTTAAGAATAAAGAAATTTTTTTTGTTGTTGTAGGACTCCTATCAGACCAGGACAACACTGACCTAATGCACCAGCAAGAGGAGAAGCACGATGACATTTTGACCCCAAAGCTCCCCAGGTATGCTCTTCAGTGTCGCTGGGCCTCCCTTTCAGGGCTGGACCCTGACACCCTGACCTTTCCCGGGGGCGCGCCTATTCAGCTTCACACCGTGCCCCCTACCCTCCTGCCAAGGATCCCTCTCTTCTACGTCTGCACCAGATGTGGCAAGGTGTTCTGGGAGGGCTCTCATTTTGGCCGTGTCCTCTCAATGTTTCAGGAGGTCTTGCACATTTCAGACGAGGACAATGAATCTGCTGCAGAGCCCATTACAGCTGCTCAGCAGAATTGACTGTTGTAGAGTCAGTTTACATGAAGACTTTGGCATTCAGCTGTCTTATCCCGTAGGAACCCATGCCCCTCTGCACATGGAGGACGGTTCCTGTTCAAGTTTCAACACTGACTCTTCCATAGTTTTCCTGAAAGTAAAGTTGGGTCTGGGCTCTTAAAATACAGTAACATTTCCCCACATGTAATTAACTTTAAATAAATTAGTCAAAGTCAAATGGGAAACAATTCTTCTTTTTTTAATCACCTGGATCAACAGATTGCCTCTCAGTGAGCATTGAATGAAGGCTTTATTTTTGTTTTTAAGCCACCAATTTTTTTCAGATGGAAATATTTTGAAAATGTTTAAATATTTTGTGTTTATAACAGTTTAAAAAATCATTTACATTTCAGACAGGCTATAGAGTGATCGCATTTAGACCTGACCATATTTGTTATAAACTGTATTATACCTAAGAAATGGTTTGCATTGTGATACTTTGAAATCGAAAGAGTTAATTCTTTAAGAAAGTAAACATGTGCATCAATCCTAAGTTTGTTCCATTCAGCAGTTTATGAGGTCACATCCTGTGGAAACTGTTTTTTATTGTTTTGACTTGAACGCCCTGGTAGGTGGCGATAAGGTCAGTTCCTTGGCCGTTTTAGTACCCAGTGGTACGATACATTTTTATTCTCTGTGATTACATTCTTGTAATATTTAAATGTTTAAATGCGTGTTTCAATAAAGAGTTTTTTTCCTCTCCTTTCTTAATGTGTAAGAATTTGCAGTTGTTTACTTTCACCAGATGTTTTTGTTTTCGATATGTTTCTAAATTCACAAAGCAGATGGTAAAGGACTGAGGGTGGACAGATTGATGGGATTATCCGAGCTTTAGTCGTGTCTGTCAGGTGTAGCACGTGTGTTGGGGTTTTTTTGTTTCGTTTTTTAGTGGGGTCACAGAGTAACCCGGCACATACCAGCAGAATCCCCTCACATTTTCTCATACTCCTTCCCACTGTGAATTTGTGTGATTCCAGACAATTAGATCTCCCAAAATATTCAAATAGGTTTTGGAAGCTCTGCAATTAAAGATTTTCTGATGTTTTTTTGCTGAGGAAAGTACATGAAGCTACACCAGAAGGCTTAGTTAGTCTTTTTACAGTCATACAATCTAAGAATCCCTAACTATAGCCAGATGTGCTCTTAATTTTACTGACAGTAATTTTCAAAGACGGGCCGTACTGTGAATCACTGAGGTAAATGTGTTTTCAGGAACAACGACAGCTGCAGAAGAAAAGTTGGAGGTTGGTATCTCAGGATGAAACTTGATGCTCCAGAACATGCGCGCTATAGCTTGTTTATCATGCCATGAGTAACCACGCTGAGCTTTCAGATGTAAAGTGTTAAATTTGTGTTAGTTGAAACTCCTAGGACTTGACATGCTGGGAGTTTTCAGAGAGCTCAGCAGCCTAAATTTAACTGCAACAAATGCTGTAAATATACTCATGAGACACTTTATTAGGAACACCTTTCTAGTTTTGGATTGGACCCCTTTCGACTTTCAGAACTGTCTTAATTGTTCGTGACATGGATTCTACAAGGTGCTGGAATTCCTTGGAGATTTTGCTCTATGCGAAAGCATCACATCCTAAAGGTGCTTGGATTGAGGGTCCGGTGACTCTGGAGGCCATCTGAATACCGTGAACTCATTGACATGTTCAAGAGACCAATTTGAGCTTTTGGACATGTTAATGTGTTAGAAAAAGTGCACAAGATGATGAGTACACTGTGATCATAAAAGGATGAACATGGCCAACAGCAATACTCAGATGTGACATTTAAACCACGGTCAGTTGGTACTAATGAGCCCAAAGTGTGACAGAAATACCCCCTGAACATTACCAGTTCATACAAGGCGGGATGGACCCGTGCTTGCATGCTGTTTACACCAAATTCTGACCCTACCATCCGAATGGCTCAGCAGAAATTGAAACTCATCAGCCAAAGTTTTTCCAGTCTTCTGTTGTCCATATTTGGTGTGAACATACAAATTGTACCCTCAATTTCCTGTATTTAGCTACAGAGTGGCACCCGTTCTAGTCTTGTGCTGCTGTAGACCATCTGCTTCATGTGGAGATGCTCTTCTGCATACTTTGGATGTGTCTTTCTATCAGCTCAATGCAGTTTGGTCATTCTCCTTCTGACCTCTGATACCAAAAGGGCCTTTTTGCTCAGAGAACTCACAGTCACTTTGTATTTTCTCTTTTTATTTTTTTTACCCTTCTCTGGAAATCCTAGAGATGGTTATGTGGGAAAATCCAAGTAGGTCAGCATTTTTCTGAAACACTCAGGCTAACCCGTCTGGCACTAACAAAACCACATTCAGAGTCGCTTAAATTGCTTTTCTTCCCCATTCTGATGCTTGGTTTGACCTTCAGTGTGTCATCCTGATCGTCTCCATCCCTAAATGCACTGAGTTGCTGCCATGTGATTGGCTGATTAGATAGTTTCAGTTTAATAGGTATACCTTAAAAAAATTTCTGATAGTTTCTTTGGAAGCCTCGACCAGATGTCCCGTAACAGTCCTCTCTCAGATCCCCTAATTTCAGTTTTTTGGGGATTTAGTTTAGCTCACCTGGTTGAGCAGGTGACCATATGCTGCAAGGCTCAATGCACAAGTGCAGGTTTGATTCTGACCTAGACGCCTTTGCTACATATCTTCCACCATATTTCCTGTTTGAAAAATCTTCACTGTCCAATCAGATAAAGGCGAAAAGATTCACATAATTTAGAGAAGATTGACACTTTAGCTTTTCATGTGTGAATAACAGACCAGCTACATGACTTTAAAGGCCTGTGCAAAAATGTAGGCTTAGGGCTTTTGTTGCAGCAAGTAATCCTACACCATCCCTAATGCAGTCATCTGTAGGGACATTATACGTGCCGTCACTTCTGAAGAATGTTACCAAAGTGGGTGTCTATGGCAGTGAGTGGGAAGTTAACCATTCATTGTTGTGAGTGCTGGGTGAGATGCTGGTCCACATCAGAATCTCCCGCCTCTGTGTCCTATGGGTGAATCTTATGGAAGAAAGTTAATATAGTTAACTAAAACTAAACCAAAAACTACATGAAAGAAATCATTTTAGACTGAAGATAAAACTAGACTTAATTTGTTAATTTGGTCACATTTGTCAAAACAAGAAGCCTGTGCACCTTTTAGTGCATGTGTTACTAAATCTGGGACGTCTAAGAAGGGACTTTGTGTCAAGTATTTGTTGTCACTGTTAATTTATTCTATTTTTCTGAGCATCTTAAAACAAATTATCCACGAGGTAAAGTCAAAAGTGAAATTTAATTTTTAAAAAGTAAGCTTAAAAATACTCTGTGGAAGCTACCTGAAGCTAAACTGAAGGTAAAAACACGTTGACACATTGCCAAACAGCATAGTGGAATTTAATAGGTACGTTTGAAAGAGCTGTTTTTATCAGTTTTTGTACTGCTTTCTCATAGAGGTTTTATTGGTGGTGTATATATGGGAAGGTCTGGACCTGTTCAAGCTACAGAAAAATTGCAACATGAAAATTAATTTGAAAGTCTAGTTCCCAAGAACAGTGCAATACTGATGAAAAGCGAAATGAAAATATTATCTGAGCATTTTATGCGTTTTCACATATGGAAACCAGCTCTAATAAATCATGTAAAACTACACTTTAAGGTGTGGGGGGAAAGGGCTCGTGATAAACGCATAGCTGATGCTGCGTGAGACCTTCTCCAGAGGAAGCTGGATTAATCCACCTCTGTGACGTGTTAACAGTTTCGAAAAAGATCCACAATCAAGTGCTGCTGAACGAGACCGCTATGCTGGCAATGGTGTAGTTTAATACGATAATAATATGACCTCTTCTTCTCGAGCCTCCTGGAGTCCAAGCATTTGTTGGCTTGTCGCCAAGCAGCCTGTGCAATAACTACAGTAACATTAAGCTTCCCCGAGGTGTATTTTATTGGTATGACTGAAGCAGACACCCTAACTTCCAAATAAACCCGGTGTGTGCTGTCCCGTCCTTGTCCGGGTGGTCGCAGCCCCTGCCTCTGCAGAGCGCGAGGTTTCTGCTGCAGCACCGTGTTATTTGATCCTTGCTCTTTCTTTGCTGGGAAGAAAAGCTCGCCTCTTTCCCACGCTCTGAGGACACGTGGTGCCCGGAATGAATTGGATGCAGAAGGCCCTCCCCTCCCGGTAAAACGTCACCCCTCTCGCTCTCTCTGTCTCTCTCTCTCTCTCTCTCTCTCTCTATTCTCATAAACTCAAGCACGCATGTTTTCAGGTATGAATGTAAAAACAGGTTTAAAAAAGAAATTATGTTAAAAAAAAAACCCAACTAAATTTAGATTTATGTTCCCTCCTGTTGTGTGATTTCCCCGTTTGGGCTCTTCTGCAACATGGAACCCAGAGGAGAGACTCCTCCCGGCTCGTCTGGCCCATTGCTGCCCCGGCGTCGGCGCCAAACTCGGGCACCGCGCAGCTACGAGGTCTTCGTTGCTCCTTTTGCGGTGCAGCACTTAAGCCTCTCTGTATTTCGGGGAGGGGGGTGTTATCTTGTTTATCATCGCACGAAAGTAGAGCAAAGACATGGCTGCACAAACAAAACCAGAACAGGCTTGCATTATCTCAATGCAACCGTTTTCCATTTAGGAGTTCTAGGAAAGCTGGCCTCATTGCACCCTCCGTGCCCAGCCGACCGCTCTTCATAGCTGTGCCCCCCACCAAAAAAAAAAAACACCTAACAAAAAGTTTTTACATTTTTATTTATTTATTTAGTTGTTTTACCTGACGTCATATTAACTGAACGCGAGAAACTGTGGGGGGAGAAAAAATCACAAGTATTTTATCTCAACTTACTCTGGCAACTTCCCAGGCACACATTACCACGAAAGATTCAAGAGAGAAGTGCATGTGTTGGGGAGGGTCTTCGGGGAGGAACTCATCCAATGGAAAACTTTTGGCTCCTGTAGTCTCTGCAAATGTTTTCCAAGTGTCCAGACGCATTGCAGCAAAAGCTCTGATAGCGGACAGATGTTCTTGATTTTCCAGAAATTGTTTTTCACCCTTCAGTAATCTGAGAAAAAAAATGCACACATGTACAGTAATGTGCAAACATTTTGCGCACTAAATGTAAAATGAGGAAAACAAACAAATACATAAATTCTTCACAATTCAGGAATTATGCAATAGAGCGTTTTCCAAGATATAATTATACCTTTGCAAGTGACGGACAACTTTATCCAAACGTTCTGGTTAATTGGCACAAGCCTTTTGTAGTTTGGGTTAAGTCTTTGCACAGCAAAAACACAAATAGGAAACAATTAAACCAACACTTGTATTTTTCTTAATTTATAATTTGAAAAACAACCCACAATCTAAATTTCCCCTCAATCTGATGGGATAGATTTGCTCTGCAAACGGCCATATGTACCCTCACTGACTAATTCAGTCATATACGGAGACAGCGAAGGGGAACACACGTCTGTTATTGCAGCCTACATCATCGACTTGACTTGGTTATTCACCACGTTTGAATACACCACATATGGGTGACTCAGAGCTGGCTTTGTTTTGGAGCATTTGCAGCTGTGGACCACTTGTAGGAGGTAAAAAAAAAAAAAAAAAAAGGCGCACAAATAGTCACCTGCACATGTCCCCAAAGACATTCTGAGTAGATGAAATTAGCTCGTTTTTGCTGTCATTTGAGCGTGACTGAAAGTCAGGTATCTCCATATCCATAAACATAGAAGAGAGTGGCCTAGAAGTCCTTTCTGAGTTGCTTCCAGAATATGCTGCAAAGTCAGCTTTACCTATATTGATAAAAAAAAGGGACATATTTTCTTACATGTTCAGTGCAAGAATGTTCTCTTATGCCTAACTACACGATCCCTTAATCGTGTAACTAAACCCAATAAAATATTAGCCTGTTTCATATCCATACTGTGCATCATGCCGGCGTTAAAAGCCGGTTTGCACTAATAGAAGCAGTTAATGTGGTATGTGCAGCCGTGTAGGCTAACTGAAAGCACTACTCTGTGGTTATCTGTGGCTACTAAACTGTGACCCTCAGGTGCCTCATTCATGATTTTAAAGGACACCCTCCGGTCAGCTTAAAAGGGAGAGGAACGTCTGTATGCACCTAATAATCAACCGCCTTTCCCAAGAATCGCTGTGTAGTCGTCTCCTTTAGATTAAACTGAGCAAGTCTGGGGCTTCATCTGTGGGACCTCTGTTGCTGTCTCTCCCACGGACTGCCGCTCCGACCCACAATAGCACGCTCATGCATGCAGATAGAGCCACAGACGTGCGCCAAATGTACAGTTCTGACTGTGGGAAAACCTGATAGTGCGAAAGCCGCCAAACCATCAGAGCGGAAAGCGGCTTGTAAAGTGTTACACAGATGACACGGAGAACGGGTCGCCAAACGGAGCAAACGGTCAGAGAAGGAAGCTGAGCTGCAGGTAGCCTACCTGGTGCGGTTTCTACATAACCCATTCTCTCCGTCTCTGCGTTTATCTAACCATCTGTGTCACCGTAACGCTTATTTATTTGTGCCGAGCCGTGTTTCTGTCAGTTAGTGGGATATCTATCGACACCTTTTTCTCTGCGCCACACACACACTCACACACACAGGCGCCCAGTTCCCACGGTGGTGGGGGTAGCTGAGCGGCGGTGTCAGTCTGTGCAAAGCGTCACCTCTTTTCACTTGCAAAAAGGAAGTAGCGCGGGGCTTTTGTTATCTGAACTCTCACAGTCTAGTCATTTAAAAACAAGTGGACTATATCCGCCGTTTATGATTTAAACAGCCACCTATAATCTCCTCCTTTGAGGTGTTTTTATGCCGGTAGGTATGACGGCGACAATCCACCCGTTTGGGGTTTGTATTTAACTCTATGCCATTTGGTTTGGACGTAATATAGCGTATTTGTGTCGGCTTCTGGTAGAACGGCGTGTACAAATGTCTCCTTGTGCCTCAGTCTAGCATTTGGACGAATCTCATCTTCTTTCTTTGTTGTATTTCACATTTATCCACAAATTAACTGAGGCGTTTGTGTGGAGTCCCACACTCCGGAGAAAGTTGGAACACCAAAATCAACACATAGCCGTAACCCACTCCCTCTACGGAATAATTGTCATTATTTGGACGCTTAAAACCCCCAAATTCACAAGAAGTGATGCCAGTTTTTTCCCCAGATTCAATATAGATTCACTTAACTGAGATTTAAAAAAACACAAAAAACAAAAAAAACCCATTTAACTTATACAATCCTCGATCCATGATAAGAAGTGAAATTCTATCGCCTTTCGAGAGATTTCACCTCCTTTGAAATTCGAAAGAAAATTAATATGAAGGTAAATTTGAGTAATAGACACTCCATTCTTTGAGATATTTTTTTGCGATTAAGACTCATTTGATGTTGTTTCTTAGTAACAATTTTCATCGAGCAGCAATTAATGATCAACTTTCACCGAGCAACACTTGTCAATTCCCTTCAGTGTCCAACACGCTGTCACTGACACCTGACTGACTTTTTGTCGCAAGTTCCTGCCGACGACAATCCAGTGGTGGACCTTTTACAGCGTGCCCGATTTCTCAGCAGTTTACAGCGCTGGCAGCACCGTGTCTGTGACTTTCAGTCCGCTTCACGGGGTGGGCTGCAGGAGATCGGATATAGAGATCACCGTAGGATTGCTCCGGGCGCCTTGTTTAATACTTTGCAGCAACATTTGGCTCCCCCTCGGAATACCACGCCCCCTCCCTACAGATTCACAGGACCCTGATCCCTCCCTCAAACCGAATCGGCAGCCTATAACCTCCCCGGATCTCCACCCATTCCTCCACAGTTGATTCTTTGGGAAGGTATTGTCATGCAAATGAAGGACGCGTAAAATATTCTCTCAGAGCGCAGCGGAGGGCAGAGACTCACACGGACCGCAAGGAGGACACAGATCGCGCCACTCGGTGGATTTCTATCGTTTGCGTCGCTAGGGACCCGTCTATCTGTCACAGGTAAGTCCCAAATCTGCAGCGGATTACAGTTCTCACATGTTTAGCGGTAAAATTCAACCAGTGTACCCGTGCGTAAACGTGTGCGCACGGTGGTTCCGCGCACTCATTCTTGGATGTGGCGGAATGTAGGGTCTCTCGCACTCTGTTGGTGAGGATTCTGGATTCATGCGGGCTCCTCTTGTCCTTTTTTGTCTTTCCTAGACACCCTGGCCACATGAGAAGCGACATATAGCCAGGGAACAGATCGAACCGTTCAAGGAAAACCGACGGGATCCAACACACAGGAGGCTGCTCTGTGGAGATAGTGGCCATACTTCCAGTTTTCCCAAGTAAAGTCGGAGGTGTCTCTCTTCTCCATCCCCCTGTGCAGGCTACCTGCTGCTGCTACTGCTGCTACAGAAGGGGAACTATATTCTAAAGTCCCCTGGATCACTTGAGAGCACCCTTCTATTTTCTAGGGGATTTATGATCTCTCAAATATTTACACACCAAGTGTGCCATTTTCTCTCTTGTCCTTTTTGGGATATATGTACACACATATATATAAAGTGACCTTTTTCCGTTTTAGTGGGCTACTTTAAAGTGCCTTAGCTGGTTATAATCCAGTGTAACTGTGGCATTGCTACCAGACCAGAGACGCTCAACAGGGAGAAGACGATCATTATCAGCTTTAGAGTCCAGGCAGGATTACTTGTTCCCCACCCTCCAGCGAGTTGCAACCATGAGCCAGGCGGATGTGTCAACTTGCTCCGCGCCGCAAAGGGTTTTCCAGGAGGCGGTTAAGAAGGGCAACACCAAGGAGCTGCACTCTTTGCTGCAGAACATGACAAACTGCGAGTTCAACGTCAACTCCTTCGGGCCGGAAGGACAGACGGCCCTCCATCAGTCAGTAATTGACGGAAACCTGGAGCTGGTAAAACTGCTGGTGAAATTTGGTGCAGATATCAGACTGGCCAACCGGGAAGGGTGGAGCGCTTTACACATCGCCGCTTTCGGGGGCCACCAAGACATTGTGCTATACCTCATCACCAAGGCCAAGTATTCCTCTGGCGCCCGGTGATCAGACTCTGCTGTCAGGTAAAAAAGAAAAAAGGAAAAAGTAGAAAAATTAAAACAAACAAGCAAACAAATCAACTACAATTTAAATATAAAACTGCAACACAACACACGGGAAAGCCAGGCTCTTGTAAAAGCAAAATAAATAAATAAATAAAACAAAAAAAAACCAATAAAACAAACAAAAAACAACAACAAAAAAACAAAAACTGCCATTATTTACATAGTTGTGCCAAATCATATAAAAAAGGAGATAAAAAATAGGCCTGCACAATAATCTTTCCTCACTGTAAACCAAACGGGGTCCTCTCTGCACTCCCGAGTGAAGCACCGCATGGTTCATACACAGCGCCTCAACACGAATCTTTTAACAAAAGAAACCCATTTCCGTGAGTTTGTTGGTACTAAAGCTTTCCTCTTGAATGTTCGTATTAGATCGTGTCGTCCACTATAAAAGAAATCAAGTCTCTGTGTATCGCATGTGTGTGTTTGGACTCCAGAGAGCAGATGGCCCAGTTTTTTTCCCTGTCCCTTGAATAGTTTCTTTGTGGGAGCGCAGATTTGACCTGTTGCTCCTCATTGTTCTGTAAAACCCCCTTTTTAAGTTATTTTATATGAAACAGGCACTTGATGCTTTATGGCTGCATGCTGGAATATCTGAAAGGGAAGACACATGAACAAGAGAAGGAGGGTTGCCCTCTGTTGGTTACCAGAGGTCTTATTTTCTTTAATAAATTTTAGTGATTCTTCTTCATTCTTTTTTTTTTAACTCAAAGAGCGGCATTATGGCTATCCAACACATTTTCAGATGTGTAATCATTATGTAACAACAACTGACTTCATAATTGTTGTGAAGTACTGTACACAATAGCTTTACTTTGTTTCTGTTTCTTTTTTTTCTTTTTTTAAGGAAAAGAGCGATGAGAGCGCTCTGCAAGCAGATCTTGCCATGCTGGCGTCCAATTTTTCAGGCCAGTGCGACCACTTTGCCAATGGTCATTGTGTTACTAAAAACCGCTGCTTTCGCTTTGTATAAAAAAAGACGCATTTAATTTCACTTTATAATCTCCTTTCAGTATTTTATTAACATCCTAGTCATCACTGTGAAAGCAGGCTGGGTTTTTTTTTAATTTATGAAGGTACATTGAGAAGATGCATTTTTAAATATTTTGTGGTTCTTCTTAAAAACGATCTGTATTGTGTAAGGATATAATGGGTGACTCAAGCTGCTTCAGACTTTTTTGTGTAAACTGTCCCGTGTGGAGGTAAGACCTGCCACCCTCATCCTACTGGCCACAGTTCTAGATACCCCCACCCTCCAGTTATAGGCTGTCGACCCCTTCGGAGAGGACTTTCTCATCCTCCCATTAAAGTGACTCTGTTTGGTTGCCTTTTCCCAGCTACCTCGTCTGTAAAGTATTCTCAAGTCGTTCTGTTTTTCCTCACCACCGCCTTGTTTGGAGTCTGTGATCATCCGCATGCCGATGGGCTGTTTGTGTCTGCTAAAGTAACCTCACAGCCAGATGGACTTCAGTAAAGAAGATGCAATGAACCCATTTTTGCATCCTCCTTCGGGACAGTTTTCACACTACAACCAAACCAGTGCTGACAAGCAAAACATCATTTTGCCTTTTCTGCAAGAGAGTCTGTGGTTCTGTCTGTCTTTACACACACACACACACACACACACACACACACACACACACACACACACACACACACACACACACACACACACACA